GCACACAACCCCGGCAGCAGCAGCGGCAGCAGCAGCAGGAGTGGCAGCAGCAGCAGCAGGAGTGGCGGCAGCAGCAGCGGCAGCGGAGGCCCTGCTGCTCTGCTTCGTGTAGCAGATGCTGCTGCTGCTGTTCTCCCTTAGAGGCTAACGCTTCTGCCTTTTACTGCAGCGCCTCCTCAGCATAATCGGCTGAAAGGTATTATGCAGCAGCAAGCTCAGCAGCAGCACCCACACTATGACTGCAGCAGCGGGAGCAGCAGCAAGCGCAGCAAGTGTACGTACACCTGAGGGCTGACGATAGAACTATAACTGCAGCAACTTCTGCAGTCGTATTCAAAATGCTTTTGTGTGTTGCTGCTGCAAGTGCTGCAGCAGCAGCAGCAGCAACAGCCGCCCCCTTGTCGCAGGGGGGGCGTAGAGTAGAGAGAATGTGAGTCTTATAGCTGCTGAAGCTGCTGCAGCAACCGTCACCTATAGAGCTTGTCTTTAGGTTGATGTCTCTCACGAACTGTCTCCTTTTATGGGGGCCCCTTGCATGCGTTGCTGCTGCTCGGGGGCCCCGCTACGAGCACCTGCTGCTGCTGCGCTGCTGCTGCCCCCGCAGCAGCAAGCATTGGGGCTTGGTGAGAGGTTCTTTTAAGAAAACCCTGTTATTATTATTGCTTTTTGTGTATTTGTTTATATTTACCTTTTATTTATTAATACTCTCCTTTCTTTGAGGGGCCGTGCTGCCTTGCTGCGCTGCAGCAGCAGGGCCTCCTCCTTTATTTGTTGCTGCTTTAAGTAATTGTTTTTATTTCCGTCTTATTCTCACTAAGCTCTCCTTTATATAATTAATTTAGGTGTTAATAGAAAGAGAAAGCTGCTGCATTCATCTCTACGTATGGAGAGGTAGCTAGGTGTATTGATAATGAATAGAAGGGGAGGAAGCGGGGGGTTTAGGGTTTAGGGTTTAGGGTTTTCTAAGGTTTAGGGTTTAGGGTTTAGAGTTAGGGTAGGTTTGCTTCTTTTTGAGTTAAGTGCGCTGGAGGCTTCAGGCCTGTGCTTAAGATCTATGTGTCTCTTTAGGAGACAACTGCAGCGCTAGTTGAATTATCTGTCCCACGGTGTATACTTACTGCTGCTGCTGCTGCTGCTACTGCTGCTGCCGCCGCTGCTGCTGCAGTATTAGTGTAGATGCTGCTGGGCAGCTCATTAGGATGTCCGTTTCTAAAGAGACAGATAAGGGACTGCTTAAAGAAAAGAGACGCTTTCTATGTGCAACAACAGGGCCTGTACTCGTCTTCCCCCATTGCCTTCAGACACAACGTTGGTTGTGGTGAGAGTCTCCATATCTTAGCTGTAGAGACACACAAATAAATAATAAATAAAGTAAAGAGACTCCTAAAAGCAGCTGGCTGCCCCTTCAGCCCCCTAAATGGTTTAGAGTTGGTGAGGAGGGGAGGAGGCGGTGTCTCACTAGTTAGAGTATTCTTCATTGCAACATATTGAAAAGCAGTATCAGAGGCGAACATAGTTTACTGCATGCGTTAAAGGTGTAAACAGTTGGCAGCTAAAAGCTTCACTCATGTAACGGGCTGCGGGGTTGTGATGCCTATTAACTCCTCAACAGCAGCAAGGGGTTGCTCCATAGAGCTCTTTCTAAGAGTCCTGTCCCTCTTTAACTGTCGAGTTAGCCTTTAAGCATTGGCTGTATCACCACCTTGCATTAGCAGAGAGTGCAGTAGGGATGTCTCCTGCAGCAGCTCTAAAGCTGCAGGTTTACCCCGCGTGCAGCACAAAGATATGCAGCAAAAAAGCAGCAAAGCAAACCATTGTTTCAACAGAAAGTGTTGAGGCGCAGTATATACCAGAGGCTTCTTTGCTTCTTCGCTCTCCCTTCCCCAATCTTATAATAAGCAGCACTTCTCGAAACTGCATGCATCGTAGGCTTACCGGCGAAGGAGTAGCAAAGAAAGCAAAGAGCTCTACCCAACCCATGAATAACTTCGGTGACTGATCGCCCTCCTGCAGGCTCCTCAGAGAGCTCCAATCCACTGGAGCCAAGTTGCTCTAATTAAAAGTGGCTGCTGAATGTTCTTCGTCGCTTATTTCTGTTTGATATTCCTGCGCTTCTTTCATTCTCTAATGAGCTGTATAGGGACCTCAGTAGGTGCAGGTGTATGGGGGCTTCTATTAGCATATCAGCATCTGATTTTTACGCCAGGTAAGATAATAGCATTACGGTGTATAAGAAGAGCAGTAGACCGAAGGAGGCACTGTTGCATTAAAATCTCATTCCATACAAACGAAGAAATCAGGATACTGTATAATCTCCGCTGAATACAGCGCAGCAAATACCCACGCCAACATCGCCAAGCCCTCATTGATTAGGGGTAACAAATCGTGAGTGGCTTGTGCAGCAATTCGTCAGGTGCATTCAGGAGACTAAAGGAGAGACAGGTATAATCTGGGTTGCGAGGAAGTGTGTGGAGCATTGGGGCGCAGTCTTGTCTCTTTCGTCGAGACAAGATATAGGAGATAAGCTATGTGTTTTAATGAAGATAAATGATAAGTAGACTGTTGACTCCTGCAACCGCCCACGTTATTCGCCGATAGCCCGCATCCAAACCATTTCCTTTTTTTTGTGTTTTCTGACTGAGGGGCTCTGACTAGTTGCGCATGCACCAACACCTGTCTTGTTTCTCTGCTAGAATAGGGTTGTGCAAGCAAGCCCCCTAGTTGATGGTTAAAGTTTGCAGTTAATCTCCTCCTCCGCTTCATTCCTGTCCAGATGCAAGGCTCACCTATCATTCGGAGCAAAGATTGGGGCTGTTATTCGCACTATCCCTTCAGCCATACCAACGCCAAGCCTAGGCACATCTGGCGGTGAACGGCTCTATCAGCCTCATAAAGATATCTGCGAGTTTGAAGGCCGCGAAAGCAGCGCAATCCCTCAGGAACATGTAAGAATACTCCTTGGCTCATCGATGCCGGCTACAAGGGCACACAGCACAGCGGATATAGTTGCGACGCGTGCAGGCCCCTCTAGCCTCCCATTGTGAAGCTGTGCGTGTTCAGCAGATATTTCCTTCTAGGGTGGGGGCCCTACAGAAGAAAGGCGCCTTCAGCAGAGGCACGATGCAGATAGGGCTGTTATAAGCAATCTAAGGTTCGGGGTGCCGTTGAACCGTGCAGTCGAGAGCAGCAGCAGTAGCAGAAGCAGCATTAAAAGATGCATCTCTGCTTTTCAGCCTTGTTGTTCCGATTGCCCCTTCCTTGGCTAGTGACTATAGCCCCTCGCTCGCCCTCTTATCCCTCCCTAGCGCGCCCCATAGTTTGCGGGGGAATCAAGCGCAAGCTGACGACGGATATGCAGGCGTAACACCTTTCTTCTGAAGCTGCTGCATGCATATATTTTACTTGAGTGTAGGCAAACGCTACTGAGGGTCAAGGATGTGTTTAAGTTGGTTATCCTTCCAAATGATGCAGCCTTTCAGCAGCAGCACCTGCAAAATATAATAAAAATGAACTGGGGGCAGACGCCCTTAAGGGCCTTTGAGCTCAGGAAGCTTGGAGAATGAATGGTGCATCTGCTGCTCCTACTTTGTTTCTCTTTTACCTCATAAAGGCGATCTACCATTTAGCTGAATGGATGCCGCATGCATGCAGCTGTACGTACACCGTAAAGTGCAGGCACTTCTTCTGCTTTTTTCTCACTCCTATGCGCTGCTCCTTGGGGCCTCAGACCTCAAGAGAGTCTTCTTCGTGCGCCGGCTATCAACAAACAAATGCAAAGAATATAATGATAAGCAGTGGCCCCTAAAGGCATGCAGATACAGCAGAAGCAACAAAACAATACATACATCGACAGCAGCACTAACTGCAGCAACTTTCCTTTGATAACTTCATCTAAACAAAACCAACAAAGAGTTCAGGCTGCACAAAACGAAACCCTACATATCCGTACATAAATACATACATATCTTAATAAATATATATATATATATATACATATGTATATATAATATATACATGCATATATACATATTTGTATA